AATTCTAGTTAACAGAGATTTTCTCTGGTCCAATTTTCTCTGGACTTCACAGAGCAATTCTGGTTCACAAAGAATTTCTCTCGTCGAATTTTCTTTGGACTTCACAGAGAAATTCTGGTTCACAAGGCTTCATTATTATTGAGAGTTTCTCTAGACTGTAAATTTGAATTGTTGAGAATTTTTCTGGACTATAAATCTGTAATTTATTGCAAGGTGCATTCACAAGGCTCCATTCATTATCTTTTAAACCAGAGAAAATTGAAATTTCTCTCAATACCAAAGAAATCTAGAGAAAATTTGTGTGGCTTTGTGTGCCTCTATCCAAAGAAATTTGTGTTAGAGAAAATTTGTATGGCTTTGTGTGCCTCTATCCAGGGAAAATTGTGTAGAGAAAATCTGTGTAGTTTTGTGTGGCTCTATCCAGAGAAATTTGTAAGCTCTATTAGAAAATTGTGTTAGAGAAAATTTTTGTGGCTTTCTGTGGCTCTATCCAGAGAAAATTTGTGTGACTTTGTATGGCTCTATCCAGAGAAAATTATGTTACAGAAAATTTGTGTGGCTTTATCCAGAGAAAATTGTGAAGAGAAAATCTGTGTGGTTTTGTGTGGCTCTATTCAAAGAAAATTGTGTAAAAAAAATCTGTGTGGTTTTGTATGGTTCTATCCAAAGAAATTTGTAAGCTCTATCCAGAGAAAATTGTGTTAGATTTGTGTGGCTCTACCCAGAGAAATTTGTAAGCTCTATCCAGAGAAAATTATGTTAGAGAAAATTTGTGTGGCTCTACCCAGAGAAATTTGTAAGCTCTATCCAGAGAAAATTATGTTAGAGAAAATTTGTGTGGCTTTGTATGGCTCTATCTAGAGAAAATTTGTGTGGCTTTGTGTTGCTCTATTCAGAGAAAATTTTGTTAGAGAAAAATTGTGTGGCTTTGTGTGGCTCTATCCAGAGAAAATTGTGTAGAGAAAATTTGTGTGGCTTTGTTTGGCTCTATCCAGAGAAATTTATAAGCTCTATCCAGAGAAAATTATGTTAGAGAAAATTTGTGTGGCTCTATCCAGAGAAAATTGTGTAGAGAAAATTTGTGTGGCTTTGTGTGGCTCTATCCAGAAAAAATTTATATTTTTTATCAAACTAGAAAAAATTTAACAAAAACAAAAAAACAGATAAGAAAATTTCTCTGGTTTAAGCATGGAAATACACCAATCAAGCTCATGAACTTAAAGTCAGATAAGAGAATTTCTCTGGTTTAGGCATGGAATTTCTTTGGCTCAGGCTTTGTTCACAGAGAATTGAAATTTCTCTGTAAATCTCTTTCTCTCTTTACTGTTGTAATGTAATGAAACTCCTCTGAGCTTCATTCTCACACCTCACTTGTATTTCATCATTACCATATCTACATATACAAATCTTTCAAAATTTGTATACATATATACACCCATATCATCTTCAATTCTCTTACAAATCTTAAACTCAACAAAACAACTCTTAATCTCACCCCAATGTTGATCATCCAACACATAATTCTGCAACCAGTTGGACATAACAAGGTTTATCCGCAAGAGAAAACAAAATTATCCTCTAGGGTTACAAACTCCAAGTACTGTTCATGTACCTTGGAAATTCGATTGATGGACTCAGAATTGAGAGTCCTTGATGCGAGATCTTCAAGGAAAAACGAGGAATCAAAGATGAGAAATTGAGGCAGAAGAAATCGTAAAGAGATCGATAGGCATCGGAAACGATTCGGTGAACATTGAGGTGAGTGGATTGGACGAAGTAGACGATGGGGACATCGTGGACAGGCTTGCGGTCCTCGTCGATGAGGAAGTATAGGGTTACGCCGTGCTTGCAGAGGTCCATGACGTAGATGAGAGGGGAGAGAATGTCTTGGCATAACTTGTAGTAGATCAAGATCATGTAAACTTCTGCATTCGTTGTTCCACTTGAATTCACTGGTTGGTTCAGTTTCAGCATTTGATTTATGCATTCTACAAATCAGAGTTATATATGAATGAATGAATATCAACAAAATTAGATCGATAGATTTAGAGAGAGAGAGAGAGAGAGAGAGAGAGAGAGAGAGAGAGAGAAATACTGGTTTGTCTTTGTCAGAGATTGAGTGCCATGGTTGGGAGAGTCAAATTTCTCTATGATATATGGGTGTGGGGTTAAGGGACCTTAGACTTCATAAAATAATATTGTGGATCTCTTACATTACTAAAAATGGGGGAGGGACCTTAGACTAATTTTCCCTTTAATTTATTAAAAATTTTATAATTAAATTATTTTTAATTGTTCAAATTAAATGATTTTTCATAAAAAAATATTATAAGTATAAGATTAACAATTTTTACAATTACAATTTTTAATTTAAAATTATTTATAAAATTGTTGCTCATATTAAATAGGAAGGGTAAAATTGGAATAAGACATACCATTATGGAGTAATGAATCTTTTGGGAACCTTTTAATTGTCCATATTGAAACTTGATAGAACTCATTAGTAATATTAAGAGCAAAATAAGACTTATTGGTTATTTTTCCTACTCTTTTTTCTACTTTTTTTTTTTTAATTTCTTCGAGAGAAAATAAAAATAAAAATCTAACTTCCTAATTTTAAAAATGTAAAAATATATGACTGTTACGAATTGATCCTGAACTTGATGGCCAAGAAGCTTAGAAGAGCTCAACTTTGGCCTATTTTGGAAACTTGGCTAAAAGTTAGCTTTTTAATTTTTTAATTTTTTTTGAATAATATCACTTCTCTACTTTTTTACGTGTTTTTAAAAAAAAAGTGAAAAAATTAACTTTTAACTTATTTTCCAAAATAAGCCAAAAGCCTTGCAAACATGAAAAAAAGTTTGTTTACGATTTCAGTTCATATCAATCTCGTGACAAAACACTTGCATCAACATTAGCTACTTTATAATTAGGGTCCTTGTAATAAGTACTCTTAGATAAGCCGTTTCTTTGAAGATTTGCTCATAACGAATACCCTCATAACCTACTCAATTCAAATTTCTTGTGGAGCTCAAAGTCTAGGTCCTTATAAGCTCGTTGCCATGGCCGCTCATGCCTAGAGGTGTAAAGGCTTGGAAAAAACCAGACGCGTTTGATATGTTGTAGCCATAAGCAATTTCAAGGAATTTTGGTCAGTGGCATGGGTAATGACCCTTGTATGTCCAAACTATAATGTCGCGGGCAGCATTTGACTCAATATCTTGTCTCCCGGATAGCCTTGGATAGCTAGTACCTTAGGGATATGAGTTTAGAGTTTCTTTTTTTTTGTTCTTTTTTTTCCGTCAGGTATATATGAAAATGTGATTACAATTTGTACAAAGAACCAATTTTACAAGAAAATCTTGGTAGGTATCAAATTCTCAACTGAAGTTCTCCCAATACATGCATTTCAGGTTTCTAGCCAAATAGGCCTTCAGATGAGTCTAGGAAAACATGGCCCTATACCACCGGCATCCATTGGGCAATTTTACATTTGAATTTTGTCTGAGTCATTCCCATAGCTCAACATTTAGCTTCTACAAGTTGGATTGACATTAGGGCAGTGCTACCCTTTCATCATCTGAGTCATCTTTTAGTGGGTAGCTAATGGATGAAATCAGAGATGCCATGTAAGAAGGCATACTATGCCTCTGCCCTAAGAGAGCATCCAGATTGTTGATGTTGCTTTCAGATGTCTATCCACTTTTGCTTCTCTTCATCTGTAGGGGAATTCATCAACAAAGATTAAATCTTATTTCCTTCTCAAATGTGATGAACTTGGTCTTTTGTGATCTTCAAGGCAGTCAATTGCAGGTAGATCCTCATATAACATTTAGTTCCAAAAAAAATTATAAAGGGGTAGCTGCAAATTTTTAAACAAATAAGATAAATGACACCAAACAATAACCACCAAACAATAAAATGATTCTACACATCCAAACACAACCTTAAATTTTTACTGGGCTGCTGCTGGTGGACTGATAGCCCTTCGAAGAAACTTACCTATTTAGCCTTCTGGTGTGGCGTTTGAGATCCATGTAGGTTCCCCTAGAATGGATGCTACAAGTAGAGACGAGAGAATGAACTCACTCAATAGTCAATCCGAAATAAAATGTCTTAACTCAATGAGGAATATAGATTTAATCTCTCAAATTTCCAAATCATCTGATCTAGCACTGGCCAGAATTAGCCTAGATTATTCCACTAGATGGCAAACTTGAAGATAAGTCCAACGTTTGTAATCTATCAATAAATAACCTAATTTAATCATACCAAATCACATTTCCATTAAACATGCCATAAAATCACATAAATTCTAATTAGCACATATCACCAATCAATTTCGGATTCGGCTACCGATAAGGCCTTCAATTTGCAGTTTAAAACATAATATATGAACAGATCATTTAACAGTCAAACAGATAGAAATGCATTTAAACTAATACACTCAATCAATCAGCTCAGAATTTCAGTCTAATCAGTCACTTATCATGTTCAGTCACAGTTTAGCAGTAATCAGTGGTGTTATCAATAAACAGTAGTGAGGGTTGTCACAAGCATCCAGATTGTTGAGGTTGCTTTCAGATGTCTATCCATTTTTGCTTCTCTTCATCTGTAGAGTAATTCATCAACAAAGATTAAATCTTCTTTCCTTCTCAAATGTGATGAACTTGGTCTTTTGTGATCTTCAAGGCAGTCAATTGCAGGTAGATCCTCATATAACATTTAGTTCCAAAAAAAATTACAAAGGGGTAGCTGCAAATTTTAAAACAAATAAGATAAACGACACCAAACAATAACCACCAAACAATAAAATAATTCTGCACATCCAAACACAACCTTAAATTTTTACTGGGCTGCTGGTGGTGGACTGATAGCCCTTCGAAGAAACTTACCTATTTAGCCTTCTGGTGTGGCGTTTGAGATCCATGTAGGTTCCCCTAGAATGGATGCTACAAGTAGAGACGAGAGAATGAACTCACTCAATAGTCAATCCGAAATAAAATGTCTTAACTCAATGAGGAATATAGATTTAATCTCTCAAATTTCCAAATCATCTGATCTAGCACTGGCCAGCTACTAAGTGTAAGCTTATCGGATTCCAAATAAACTCACAAACTAGATAAAAGATTTTTTAAAAATGTATAATAAACTAAAACATAAGCAACGAAAAAGGAAAAGTAGGCGTTTACAACACAAACAAGCTATTTAAAAGCAGAGCAGGTTAGGAACAAAAGCTTGAATGTATTCCATGTTGCAAGAATATTCATGTAATCTTTTTCAGGGATCCTCTAAGGAAAACATCTGTCCATATCTTCTTTCTCTCCCCCCACAATGAAAACAGCAGTGCATCAAACTTCAAACAATAGTACAGGGTAATGAAGCAAACAAATCCTCACTCATAAGAAATAAGGCACTCCAGTTCTGGGGCCTCTCATCTGGTTGTTTTCCTCTGTTTCAGTGAAGAACTTCACCTCTCTCTCCTAACAGACAAAGGGGTAAACAACAGCACCCATAGAAAATTCAATTAATCAAATCTATATAAATGAGCCAAAAAGCCACAACCAAGTTAAAAGAGTGAAATGTTTAGTGGCAGTACCATATTCTCATTGAAGCTCAATATTGAAGCTACATTACCACAGCGATAACAATAATTTGGAGCGGACCATACCTGATAAGCCAAGAAGCACACAGTAAAATTAATTAAAATATCACCAAATCTGAAGGTGATGTTATATACACTAGTCATGTTACATAGACTCAAGTCCCCCTATCAAGTGTGGATATTATACATCTAAACTCCCAAATTTCTTGGCATGTTTCTCTTATTTCTCAAGGTAGAATACTGACTTTATGTAAGATATTGTAAAAGCAACAGAAAATGAAAAAATAAAAAACAATTTCTTAGTATTTGTGTTTTATTTCCTAGGGTGGAATGGTGACTTTTCTTCAAGATGGCACTTCACTTGCTCTAAAGCAATCATGTCACAAAGAAACATAATAAGGGAGGTCTATCAATTAATTACACAGTAAATTTGCATAACCAAACATGCTTGTTGGGCCCAGTTTTGACTGGACATGTTGGACACACAGCCCATATCCTTACTCCAGCCATATGTTTAGAAGTGTCAATGTAACATAATACACTGAGTTAAAGACTTCACAACTCACAGTTACAAGGCCTTTATCTTGAAACATGTATTTAAGACCTTCCTGCACAAGTTGGTGGGCCCGGCAAACCAAATCAAGTTTATTAATGTGATTGAACTGCAGAAACAGAACAAGTTGTAGTGTTAGCATAATGTGTGGCACAGAATCACAGGATTAATATAATCTTTACTTTTTACCTCTGAGGTAACCCTGGATCCAAAAAGCCAGCCTGCTCCCCGAGGGCTGACAGCCCACGTTTCGATATCTTCAGGGTCACTCCACATAAGGTCGCAGAAGGGCCCTTCATGAGGAATTTCACAATTCCGTTCAATAATTCTAATCTGCCAAGTAACAAGCAAATTATTTTTTTTATAAATTCACACCATTTCTTGAGTCAAAAGAAATTTTACACAATAAAAGATTGCAAGAAACGTGAAGTGTCAACAAGCCTTTGATTATCTCCAAGATAACAGGTGGGTTCAACTACATTGGAGCATGTGCTTGCTGATGGACAACACAAAAGTTAAAATAAATAGAAAAATTGCCAGTAGACAATTCCAATCCTCTAATATCTACATTTTAAAAAGTTAGATTTTGTGGAAATAAATTGAAAAGATCCCTACGCTCATAATAATTAAACCATAGTCTAAATAAATATATATATATATATGTGTGTGTGTGTGTGCAAATTCATAGAATATGTCCTTGATAGACAGCAAAAATGCTGAATAAAACCATCAGGTCCAACACAAAAATAGACCTACACGCAAAATGGTGTCTTAATTGCGACAAGTAAATTGAATCACCACTTTAAATTTCAAAACACTAATAAGATACAAATTGAGCCAGTTACTGTCAAACAAGCGAAGGAAACCTGGTCAACAGTTCGAACGTCAGGAGAAAGACCACCGTGGACACAAAGAACCTAGAATCACAAATGGACAAGATGTTCAATATTCAATATACCATCAAAACTGCACAAGTATATGAGAGAGAGAGAGAGAGGGGCATACTGTTCCATCTATGATTGCTGACAGAGTTAGATAGTCAAATACGTCGGTGCAATACCGCCAAGCATTAGCATTTCCATACTTCCTTTGGCATTCATCATAAAAGCCATAGACCTAGAAAAGATGGATAACACCATGTTATAATTAAACTTCATAGTTCACAGAACCTCATTGTTTCAAAAGGCGATGATCTCATTGAATTTTTTGATAAGTGAAATCAACTCAGAGAATTAAGATAAAAAATTTAGAGAAAGTAGTTTGGAAAGTACATAAACAATTATAGTTACAAAATTTTTTAAACGCATTGGTAAAACGGCATCATCATGACACTCAATATAAGACTAAATATTAAAATCGTTAAAAAAATTATATAAAAATTGCAATAATATGCATCAATACACCAAAGGAAATGAGACAGCATACTTCATTGAGGACTTCAATTGGACCTAAGAAACACAGATACTTCTAGAAGGTTCAGTGTTTGACACGTGACGGATGCCTACCTCGTCAAACACTACCCAACACATGTTAAACATGCGTCCAAAATCTTAAAAAGTCTAGAGCTAGACACTTGTTGGGACACACAAATGCATTGCTTAGATATACATGAAACAAGTTGCAAGTTCGAAGAAATTAACTTGAGATTCAATGATAAAATAAAAACAATGTAGATTTACCTTAAACCCTTATCTTTTTGCTTTAGTTATGGGTGAGTTGACGAGAAATATCAAGAATGACGTACCATGGTGTATGCTTTTTGCAGACGATATAATTCTAGTGAATGAGACTAGAGAAGGAGTTAATGCAAAGTTGGAAATTTGGAAAAAAAACTCTTGAATCTAAAGGATTCTGGATAAGCAGAACTAAGACAGAGTACATGGAGTGTAAATTTAGTAACAATAACAATGAAAGCAAAGGAGAAGTGAAGATTGAAAACCAAGAACTGCCTAAGAGTGAACATTTTCGTTATTTAGGGTCGATTATCACAACAGCGGGGGAGATTGATGCGGATGTGGCCCATACAAGGTTCTGAAAAGCGGTTGCGGTCGCCGTAACGGTGGCGGTGGCGCGGTTGCAGGATGTAAAGGTCGTAGCGTAACAGTTGCGGTAATCGGAACCGTGATTTTTTTTATTTTTCGCACAATTTGAAAAAAACTTGCCGATACGCATATTTCGTTTTCCATGATCATATTTATTGGGTTTTAAAATAAATATTGATCAATTTTTATAAATTTTCAAGTATGATCCAATATATTTCATATTTTTAAATCATCATAAATTGAGTTTTTTACATTTTATTTTAATAATTAATGACTTTATATTATACAAAAAATCAATCACTAACTATTATATATAAGATAAACAATGACAAAAATAAAAGAATAAATAAGAGCCTAAATATATATATATATATATATATATATATTTTAATCAAGCCAAATAGAAAATGACCACACTTATTATTATTATTATTATTATTATTATTATTATCAAACAATATATAGATAGACACATACAAATAAAATGGTTGAGTGATAGCAGCTGAATAGGAAAACATAAGTCTTACAGCTTCAACAAATCAATAACGTGAATTTCATCTTCCCTCTCTCTATCTCTTGCTCCTCCATCTTCCCTCTTTATCTTCCCTCTTCTCTCTCTATGCATCTTCCCCCATTTTTAGCCCTTTTTTTGTGTGTTTTTTCGAAAAAAGCAATTCGGAACCATTACGTAAAAGTGCGTAACAGGCCGTTACGGCTATTACGGCAACCGCTACGGCCGACACACTTGTGAATCTCAATCACACTGCAAAAGCGACTGTAACGAGTGGCGGTAACCACCACAACCATTACGTAACGACGTTACGTAACGGTTGCGGCCGCTTTTTAAAACCTTGGACCCATAGGATTAAGGCGGGATGGTATAAGTGGAGAAGTACGTCTGAGGTACTGTGCGATAAACGAATACCCACTAGATTTAAAAGTAAGTTCTATAGAACGGCTATTAGTCCAGCGACGTATGGAACGAGTGTTGGGCAACAAAGAAACAACATATGTAGATAAGATTAGTATGGCTGAGATGAGAATGCTAAAGTGGATGTGTGGCAAGACTAGACAAGACAGAATTAAGAATGAGTGTATTCGAGAATGGGTAGGAGTAGCACTAATAGAAGATAAGTTGAGAGAGAATTGATTGAGATGGTTTAGTCATATTCAACTGAGACCAACAGAGACAGTAGTGAAGAGATACGATGCTGTAACGGTAAATAGAAGTGTTAGGGGACGGTGTAAGCCTAGATTAACATTGGTTAGCATTGTAAATAGAGATATGGATCTACTTAATTTGACTAACAAAATAACCTTTGATAAGGCCGCGTAGAGAAGAAGGATTCATGTAGCCAACCCCATTTGATGGGACTTAAGGCTTGATTTGATTTGGTTTGGTTGTGTCCCTATTTTGTTGTATACTGATTTTATTGAAAATTGTTGTGTTGGCGTATACGTATTGTATCCATCCATGTCTCGTATCTGCGCATGTGCTCCATAGAGTTGGACAAGTCAAGATAACAATTTATTGGAACCACAAAGCCCAACAAACATGGTGAAATCATATCCATCCAATTGTTTTAGTTTATTTTCTACTATTGGTGATACCTTCCAAATGTTTCCATTCTCCAGGGTAACTTCCAAATAACCTCATCATATATGTCCTTTTATCACATCAATATGACCCTTTACTAACACCCTTTTTCTCTAACACCATCCTCATTCTATCTCTAGGCATCCTATCAAAAGTTTTTTCCTAAATCTATAAAGCATATGAAGATCCATCCTCTTCCCTCTGGACTTCTATATTAATTTTCTCAGTAAATACATGTTGCTTCCATATTTGGTTTATTAAGTATAAATCCAAACTAATTCATTGACACTATTGTTCCAACTCTTAAACGATGCTCAATAATCATTCTCCCACAATTTCATTGTATGATTCATTAACTTAATGCCTTTATAGTGGCTACAATTTTAGATATCTACTTTATTTCAATGTAACTACATCCTCTATAGTTGAAAAATTACAACTATAATCAAATATAAATTGATTGCATAGCTGGAGACGATCTAGTTTCCAATCTCTAGAACTAAAAATGGCATCATGTCATTCCTTCAAGAAAGAAACTTTTAGATTCGTCAACTCTTTGATCTAGAAAATAGAGTTCATATCTTAATTTTTTATATTTTTATATTTTTTGATAACTCGGTGCTCGGGCCAGCTTATCCGAGACCTTGGATCTTATCCTATAGTCTTTACCGCTCGGCCAATCCCTTGGCGTTTCATATCTTAATATTTTCCATCTCTTAATATTTTCCATCTCTAACAACACATAAAAAATGAGTTAACAACACATAAAAAATGAGTTAGAAATAGAGTTACCTGTAATCAATCAGTCTCTAGTGCAATTTTCTCAATTACTTATTAAAAAAATAAAAATAAAGAAATAAAAAGAAGAAGAAGAGTTGTGGTAATTAATGTGACAAAAAGTAAGGAAATACACAATAAGAAATATGAGGTTTACAAATGCTCTTGAGGTAGCCAAACTCATGCAATTTTAGATGACAGTGGTTGTTATGGAACCAAAACAGTTCACATACTCTAAACCCAACAATAAACCTACAAAATAGCATTCCATAAAGATGCCAAAATTTGTAAAGGGTTCCTAAAGCTATGATTCCTTCTTTCGCGAGTGCATTTGAATAGTATTTGGGTAAATTACACTAACACCTCCTTAGATTGCTGACAACACCCCCTCAGGTTTCTAGAACAACACTTCTACCCCTAGTCAATTTTCTTTAAAAAACTAAAGAAAATATCACAACGAAGAGGCAAAGTAGTGATTCCTCATACAAAGTAATAGCTAAATTACATTTTTTTTTTTTGGATAAATATAAATTACATTTAACATCCCCTGATGATAATTCTCTCTGTAAGCATTAATTGTCATAATTTTGCAAAAGACACAAAAATTAGCATATTTGATGTCAGATGGTGGGAGCCATAGTGGTTGTAGCACAATTTGAAGTCAGTTTTTCTTTTTTACTTTTTTTCAATCCCCAAGGTGGGTTTCCATCTTGGACACCCAAATGGATTCAACTTCAATCTCCTTCAACAGTGCACGCGCGCACGAACTAGTTGTGATTTACATACGTATAACCGGCATACATACATATATATATGAGCACAAACACCTAACCCACCCATAATAATTTGTTGACCCCACACCTTGGGCCTCTTCTCTCTCTTCCTCCTACTCCTCCCTCCATTGCCATTCAACATCTCTTTAGAGAAATAAGTGGCATTGAGGTGGTGGTTCTAATGGAGACCAGTGGAGCTTGCTTTGGTTCAAGAAAGAAAAGATAATAGTAATAAGATGGCAGCTGGGTGGCGGTTTATTGCTATGCTTGTAAGGAGGGCTAGCAATGTACATCTAATGGCTTTGGTTTGGCAACAAGGTCAGTAACCATGACAGGTCTTGGCTTTAAGAAAGACAGACAAAGAAAGAAACAGAATTGTAGAGAACAAAGATGTGCTGGCTGCTGTGTTACAGAATCTAGTGAGTGGTATCTGTTTCTGTATTAGCACTATCTAGTGAGTGGGCTTCTTCGTTGAGTAAACATCTTGAGGGAACAAACGAAACAAACTTCATTTTTTAGAATAAACTCCTGCTCTTGGCTTACTCTCCGGGTTGCACAAGTCGGAAACATGTTCAGTTGACAAATCAAGGAAGAGCCTTTAAGTCAAGCAATCAAGTGGTCAATTATTAATGGTTGTTAATAAAAAGGTCTAAAAGCCAAGCAATGAAGTGGTCAATTATTAATGGTTGCTAACAAAAAGATTTACATACTTTTTGTAATACAGTATAAATGTGTACATAAATTATTCTAGAAAAAGTTTTGTTAAACAAGGCCAAAGTTGACATTTAAATTTTGAAATTGTGACATCATCATTTTCTACCCATCCCTTAAACAGACAGCTATTTAGCTGTCCCTGAAATTGTTAGAAACCTAAGTCTGTGTTAGTCTATGTTACACGGACTCGGATACAGGTATTGGGTGCGGGTGTGTATCTAAGGGTCGGACACTTCAAAATTAAAAATTAAGGATACGTGGATATGTATCCAAATTTGGATACGGGTACGGGGATACGTTAAATAGTTTGTTTTAAAAAAAATATATTTATTATATGAAGATGAGTTATATTATATAAATAACAAATAAAAATTATTTTAGATATAAAATAAATTATATTATATATGATAAAATAAGTTATTTTTATTTTAGACATAAAAATTATATTATTTATGATATATTATATTATATAATATTTTTTTGAATAAATAATATTATATAATATGAATAATATTATAATAATATAGTTTATATTACATATAATTCAAATTATATTAAAAAGAAGAGACGGAGAGAGACTGATTAAAAAAGAAAAGAGAGAGAGAGAGAGAGAGAGAGAGTGACGAAGAGACGAGAAGAATAGTATGGGTTGTTGGCTTTTTGGCTAATTTAGTAACTTTTTGACTTTTTGGCTAAAAAGTTCGGTTGCCAAACGAGGCCTAGAGAAGTAATATCAGCTTCTTACTGTAAACATCCAAGCTGACATCATAGTACTGAACTCCTTTAAAAAAAGGCTGTTCTAAACAAGAAAAGCCCTTACGGAGTAAAAAGAATTACATTTATAGAATAGCAGCCAACAAAGAAAAAAAAATTAAAAAAAGATTATACTTCAAACACAAAGATCCTCCTAACAATGATGGGTTAGCATCAAGTAAATTTGGAGAGAAAAAAAAACAATAGAAAATATGACCTCAACAACCAATACTTTTTACCATCACATAAGAAGATTTTCATGCAACAACTTTAAACTTTTTTACAAATATGTACAACAACCCAAGAGATGTTTGAGTGGCAATATGCTTCAAGTGGCACTTAAATATGCATAAGCACACAAATACAACATCCATCAGCATGTTCTTGTACAGGTGACCGGGTTCTCTCTTTCTCTCCCTATTTCATCTCTTTTGCTATCTGTAAAGAGCCGTGTCCGAGAGAGAACACGCGAATCCGACATAGATCCCACACCCGCACCCGTGTCGTGTCGACACGGGTACTTCGCCCCAAAGTGCCGAGTCCATGTAACACAGGTGTTGGTACATAATTATTAGAAACCTTGGCATTGTTAGCCTTCTTTGGTGCCATCTGGATAATCATCTTTCCAAATTCAGAATGTGCCTTCTTTTTATGAGGAAACAAATGGTATAATGGACATGCTCGTCAACATGGGCACACATAAAAGCAGAATCTGGACTTCAAAGTATGAACACTAACACATGCTCAAGCCAAATGAATGAAAAAGATAGACATAGGGGGGCAGCTTTCTTGTGGTAGTAATTGCAGACGTCTCTCTTCTCTTAAGTGCACGGTTTGCTTCCATGCTGCCTTAGACACATTCTCAAGCCAAATGAATAAAAAAGATAGACAGTCATACACTACCAAGGCAGAGTATATCCAATAACTAACAGAGATTATCCATCACAGCATAACATAGCTTCCTTGCAAGTACATAAAGATATCTGCTCAACAGGACAGATTTAAAAAATAAATCAATCAATCAATTAACACTAGCCCATTTCATGATAATAATTCTCAAATGAAATCCAGCCTATTTGCAGATCAGCATCCAACAGACAAATATATGCATCACTGGAACATAGAACCCTGATCTAACAGGAAAATGTTTAAGACCCTTAAAAAAGTTCTAATTTGACCCACAATGATGTGGCATGATAGTGTCAATATTTGATTTGTTACACACTCGATCATACAGAGCCCAACTCCTTTGCCACATCACCGTGGGTGAATTTGTGGGTTTAAAATTATGGGTCTCTAGCATTTCTCAATTTAACATTTTTTTTAGAACTGGATGTATTATAAACCAACATTTTGGAAACATTTTGCATGCACGAGGCAACCCCACTTATTGGACAACAAAATGGGATAACTCATCAACAATACAAAAACCCAGCAAAAACAAGCGACAGTAATGCAAAAAAAAAAATACCTGAGTTAGTTGCCTGCTTTCATGATTTCCACGTAGAAGAGTAATGTTAGCAGGGTATCTGGTACCAAACACAAGCCCAGGAAAAAGATTAACCGAACCGAGAGAAAAAGAAACAGACTTTAGAGAAGTAATATCAGCTTCTTACTGTAAACATCCAAGCTGACATCATAGTACTGAACTCCTTTAAAAAAAGGCTGTTCTAAACAAGAAAAGCCCTTACGGAGTAAAAAGAATTACATTTATAGAATAGCAGCCAACAAAGAAAAAAAAATTAAAAAAAGATTATACTTCAAACACAAAGATCCTCCTAACAATGATGGGTTAGCATCAAGTAAATTTGGAGAGAAAAAAAAACAATAGAAAATATGACCTCAACAACCAATACTTTTTACCATCACATAAGAAGATTTTCATGCAACAACTTTAAACTTTTTTACAAATATGTACAACAACCCAAGAGATGTTTGAGTGGCAATATGCTTCAAGTGGCACTTAAATATGCATAAGCACACAAATACAACATCCATCAGCATGTTCTTGTATACCTTGCTTTAAGAAGCAAAAGGATAGTGAAAACTTCAAGACTGTTGTACCCACGATCAACAAAATCTCCCTGCCATGAATTACAACGTTTCAAAAAAATAAACATTAACCGTTGAGTAAATGAAAATTTTAAAAGCAGAAAATCAACAAATGCAATGAACATGAACCACTGTATAAAGCATACCATAAAAATGTAATTTGTCTCAGGTACATGCCCCCCTGTCTGGAAGAGTTTCATTAAATCATGGAATTGGCCATGGATGTCACCACAAACAGTTACTGGACTATTGACGGGCTGCACATTGGACTCCTCTATCAGGATATCCTTCACCTGACAAAGTATAGCCCATAAATGATGATATTATTACAAAGGAAATAATTCAATGTGTTTGGTTTGACTTTTTTGGATTAAGTTTTTTAAAAACTGAGTTTTTTGATTTTCGTGTTTTTTTTGTTTTTAATGAATATTTTTAAAATTTTAAACATTTTTTTTACTTTTTTAGATGCACCTTACTTAGATGTATCTAAAAGGTAAAAAAATTGTGAAAAAATATTTTAAAAAATTAATAAATACAAAAAAATACAAAAAATGTACTGAATTCTCGTATTTTTATTGTATTTTTGGTATTTAGTGAATTTTTAAAAGGTTTTTTTCACAAATTTTTTACGTTTTAGGTATATTTATGTTAGGTATGTCTAAAAATTAAAAAAATTGTTTAAAATATTAAAAAAAAATCAGTAAAAACAAAAAAACACGGAAAACAAAAAAGTAAAATTTTTTGAAAAGTGTTTTTGGAAAACTCTAGCCAAGCAAAGTGATTATAACTAACATTTCCAAAAAAATACAAACACACAAAAAAAAAAAAAAAAACATAATCACCTGCTCTCAAGCCAACAACACAACACAGCTGAAAAGTAAAAATAGTACATGGTTCTTGAACAAAAAACATGAAACAAACATAATATAAGTGCCCCAAAATAAGGGAAGGACCCCAAAAGACCCTTAACTAATAACTTCATTGAACAGTAGCATGAAAATCCCCAATGTTAATTAGGTAAGAAATCACTTCAAGGAAAAATAATAGAACATCCAAATGAAGCCCAGATGAGAACTAGCAAACCTTAATCCCAACCACTGGTGTCTGTATTTGTTCTGTCGTTAGATCAGCCATTTTCCTTAGTATGCCAAGGGTGAATTATACAAAAACTATACATTACTGCAGTGGTACTATGCCAAAAAAAAATACCATGTTGGGTAAAACCTCAATGCATAAGAAAAACAGGTGAAGACCATTTTAAACCAAGTTCCCCACAACAAATGAACAATAATAGAAGAACAATAAATAAAAAAGAAAAATGATAAATACTATATAGATCAAATTATAATCAAGCTTCGAGATTATTCAAGTTGGCTCACATACTACACTTAACTTCATAAATATTATTTTACAATTCCTAGGAGGCTACTCTACAGCAAGAAAGGGGCCAAACATAAACCTATATTACCTGGAACATGGATTGTTTCAGTATGTGGAATGGGATCGGGAACGTCGCATGCAACATTTTCTAAAATATGGTACGATAGAGGTAGAATTGTTCAAGAGTGCCCAATTTGTGAAGGGATGAAAGATACATTGGTTTGCAACTAAGCATTCTGGTCAACCTAGTTTCCATGCAAACTAAGTATAAAGATAAGTAAAATGAAACTGGGTAAAATTATTAATAAAATTCGTTAACATAACCGTAGTATCTTATCTAATGGCTGTGTGACCAAAGGGGTAACATAACCGTAGTATCAATTTTATATAATTGATATCATGAACTAATGGCTGTGTGACAAAATGATACCCCTTTGGTCTATGTTTTGAGAGGTTCAGTTATTAGGTTCATAGTGCTTTTTCACTCATTTAATTTATGTACTCCTAGCAGCAACAGTTTTCAGCACAAATAAATGTAGTCCATGTCCCCCCAGCCCCTAGCAATACAAACCAATTCGCAAAAAATGGTGCATAATTAAAAAATATATCATTCCACTGTTCAATGCTTATTCACATACTTTGGTACATGCAATTGAAGAATTGGATCAAAGTGGGTTCAGATATAGCATTCCACTTTCTGAAAAGGTCGGAACAGGGTAAGAAATTCACATCTAAACCCAGGAAAACTTGTTCAGTAAGAGGGAGGGAGGGAAGAGCTTCCAATTTAACTAACATAACACGTGGGTTTGGTTTTGAACCACCAACCATTAATACAGCTTCCAGCACCTCCAGCTGATACCACAACAAACATCCAAACATCATTGCCACCAAAATGTCACTATGCAGAATCACCGCCACAAATTTTATTTTATTTTTATAAAAAGAATGAGGAACAAACCCCACATAATCAGGCACCATAACCATCATTCTACTGCGATAATGTCAGCACTGGTAATAACAGTGCAACAATGCCGAAACCACTATTTCATTTTCCAAGAACAAGCCCAAACCACAACCATAAGCAGATCCAAAGACTCCACTTTTCAATACTCCAATCTCTGGCATCACCAACCCCAATTTTACTCCAAAAATTAGGGATCTTTCTTTTATAAGCAACAAATTAGAGGTATCCTAGGCATCAACGTCACAATTCAAACCGCAGAAGTGATACACTAATAAAAACTAAACAAGATTAGGGTTTCATTTTCAAGAAATCCGTCTCACTTCTCCACTTTGAACCCTCATTTCTACATGAAGCTACATGCATAACATAGCCCTAATTAATTAAACACCACATAAAAAAAAATTAAAAAATGGTGAAGTGTACAAAACCCTAAATGGCATCCGAGACAGAGAAAGAGAGAGAGAGAGAGAGAGGTGTGTAATACATACATATTCACATAAGAGCTGAAGCTCATCTTCAGACAAGTGTTGGCCCTCTTTAACCTTGGAAATCCACAGATCCAAATCCATCATCCCCACTTCAACGAATCGTATTATGTATGTATATATGCCTCTGCGAGTATGTAGGTAGGTATGTGTGTGTGTGTGTGCGCGTGTGTGTATATGTATATAATCACACAAACACACACCAACAAACGTGTAGTGGTCTGTCACGAAGAGAGAATTATTGTATTATCTTCTGTGTGAATGAATCCCCTCCTCTCTCGCACGCTCGTTCTACCCAAAGACCAAGAACCAAAAACGGAAGAGACGGCTCCAAGAAGGAATGAGTTTTCAATTATATAAAATTAGCATATCATAAAAATTAAAAAAAAAGGCTATGGTGGCGTTTAAAAAACGTCATTATATCCTATCCCAACGACTAGATTTTTAAAATGTATGAATGTCTATGACGGCGTTTTCAAAAATGTCGCTAAATGTCATAGTGATGTCATAGCTAGCTTGGGAAGGACATTTGGCGGCATTTTTAAAAACGCCGCCTATAGTAATGTAACGATGTTTTTCAAACGCCATAAAGTTATAGCGACGGCCGCGTCGTCGGCGTTTGGTGCTAAACGTCACAAAAAGAAATAGCGACGTTTTTAGTGCTTTTAGCGGCGTTTTTTAAACGCCGCTAAAAGTAAATTTTCCAGCAGTGGGGGGTGGAAAAAGATGGCATTGGTGAAGGTGGAGGTGGGGATGGTAGATGAGATGGATGTGGATGTGGATATGGATGTGGTGTGGTAGTGTAGTATAGGAGGTGCCAATGGTGGTGATAGTGTTGAGGTGGAGGTGGTATCTTGGTGGTGGTAGTGGAAGAGAATGAGGTGGTGCTAGTGCTGAGGTGGGTAGGAGTAGTGATGTAATGGAGGTGCTAATGATGTGGTGAATTAAGTGGTCATGACGGCGATGGTGAGAGCGGGATGGTGATGAATATACATTATACGCTTTCTTTTGGAATACTTCCTTAAAAAAAATA